AATATACTGAGTGAAGTTCTGTTTGCAGCTTTAGCTATCACTGGCTTAACTGTGTGTATTCATCTTGGGTATGATGCTTAGAGTAAAAATGAAAACTTGACCTCTGCAGATAAGTACCACTAAAGTCAATGGTATGTTGCCATGAAGTTTGGCTAATCACGATCTTTACCCTAAGGTTGCTACCTAATTGCAGATGTATGGGGATGCTTGATGTCTGTAATATTTTCTGATTTCCCTCCCCTCTAGACTCCTCTGTCCCCTGTGGGGCACGTATTACACCCCTGTGCAACAGGGACTAGAATCACAGTCACTAGTGCAAGAAAATATCTTTGAGATCATATTTCATGTGCCTACAGGGGTGTGATAGAATCTCCTGATAAGAATATACCAGACATTAAGCTGATACTACAGCTGGTCTTGTCTCTTCTAATTTACTGGGATTTGGGCATGTAGACCAGAGGGGGAAGAGTTTTTTTCTGAGTGCAGCAATGCATACTTATTTGGAACAATTCAGTCCTATTGAAAACCAGCATTCCATGCCTGTCCCAACCTAAAATTCAGCTGTATGTCATAATAGCTTCTTGTTTGATGCGAGCACAGACCGCTCAGGTAAAAACATCTGTGAAATTGAAGATTTTTGTTATTTCTGCATTGAGAGGTAAATGGGCAAAAGTTGTAGTTTGTAGTCATATACAGATATAGCATAAAATATGGCATATAATATGTATAGCCTGATTTACTAGAACTACGACATGCTATAAATACTATAAATATTTATTAAACATTATATACACATGAAATCCACAAAATTATTTGCGTTTTTAATTGCAGGAAAAGCAACCTTTATAGCTTTATTTACCTTTTCTTTTCTTTAAGAAACTGAAAAAGATCCTGCCTGTTTTTCACTAACAATTTTTGGGAAAGGAAAGTGGGGCAAAAACCAAGGCAAGAAGATCCTGAATTGCAGATGTGTTAGAGAAGCTGATATTGTTTTTCATTCATGTTCTCAAATGCTTGTAGCCTATTTTTGGCACACTTAGGGTTTGCCCAAAGATGTTCAGTGAATAAATTATGAACTGTGTTGATAAAAGGAAGCATCCAGCAATTCACCACACCATGATTTCAGGCTTTAGATGGATGAAGCACTGTGAAAACTCTCTATTAAAAAAAAAAAATCCCCAGTACTCCAGGTACAATGATAACTTCCTTGAGGTGCTAACCTCATATGGCATCCAATGGGGTGGCTTCAGAGTAAACGTGGCAGGGGCATTGCCACAAGTAATACTACAGGGAACACCACACTCATACCTGTGAAGCACTAATATCCACTGTTTCTATTTCCTCCTAAGCATCAAAGATGAGAGTTTATGTGCTTCTGGCTTCCTGCGGGGTTAAAAGGCAATTTTATTTATTCACTTGATCAGAGGCAAAGCAGGCTGTTCTCTGTGAAAGATTTCTCATGGTGTCTGTGTCACAGCCATTTATTGAATGCCATGGCTGAGTGGAAATCAGCTGTAACTGATGTTGATCACTGTGTTACCTTGATGAAATAATAAAAATAATTGGTAAGGACCAAAAGCCAGGTAAGGTGAGCTGAGCACCTGCATTTCTTCTTGGCTTGAGGTTGGTAGGGATTTGGTTTTTTAAATCACCCTATAAGAGAGAGAAAAAAGGTTTAGCAGAAATTCAGGTTTTGGTGAAGGCAGATCTGAGTAGCAAGTCTTTTGTTTCAGTGCCAATTTGTGAACTGCCAGGTACCCACGGGCTCTGACAAAGTCAGTCACACAGTTCCTGAAAAAACTGAAGAGCCACAGGATTGGGTCCTGGGTTACCATTTCATTCTAGAGGGGATTTGGTAATGTCGTCAGTCCAGTAAGGTCAATTTTTATGCCATGGCATTTTATTTGATGCTAAACTAAAACAGCTGTTTGCAATTAGCACACATAAAAGGAACAATAACAAGACTGCAGCCTGCCCTTTCAGTGCTACACATACTCTGTGCAAAGAGTTTACCAAGTTCTGGTGATTTTCCCTCCCTCTGCTCTAACTAAAACATCCAAAACAATTGATCTCACTGAAGACCAAATAAAAAAAACCCCATGTTTATCGTTCCCTGAATGCCTCTGATGGGCAGCAGTGACTGGTTAATGGAAGATTAACGCTGCTCCGGATGCGTGTGCGGACAGGACTCTTGCTGCTGCAGAGCTGATCTAAGCATGAAGTTAAAGGGAGGTGAGGGCCAGGCAATGGCTGTTGCTGCCCTGGGACAGGATGATGTAGAGAGCTGGTTTTTTACCAGGACTGGGATCCAGTGCAGCTGGCCCACCCTCCCATTGGGAACAGTGAACAAGGAGCTTGTAAAATACACAGACCAAATGAAAATGACCCCTATTGACTGAAACCAGCTGCATGTCAGACCTCTCACTGTCTCTCTTGATTTGCTATCTCAAATAAATGGATGTGGTAGAAGGGGCTATGGAAAGAAAACAAAATAATTTATTCTCCTTGAAGTCGCGCCACGCTAATAAGCCTCAGTTTTTACAGCTGAAAAAAAATGTTTATTCACAGATTAAATTTTTCCCTTTTTTTTTTCTTGCTTTGAAAGTCTGCAGTTAAGAATAAGGCATGCTGTAGTTCAGTTTCAGAGGTCTTTGACAAATACAGACTTGGTAGATTTTGTTAGGAAGACATCACATAAAACTGCTGGCTAATGAGATCTTGGTTATTTTGCATTTAGATTCAGAAAACAAAGTTAAACAGCTTTTGTTGGTGCTTCAGCTTAGATGTGCTTGATGGCTCAACTCCATGGAAAAGGTCTTAGTGAGTTTTGGAGAAGCATGACATGAAGAAAGACTTGACTTATTAATGTGTTTTTTCCCATATTTTTCCTAATACACTCCTGGCCAACACCAGTTATTCTGAGCATTGTGAAGAGCTGCTTGTAGTAACCAGGGTAGCACCTGAATTCAGAAACATTAAGGAAACAGCTGCTCACATTCTCCATTTGACACCCAGGATGGGTTACTGCTATTGATATTAGATTGACCTCTGTTCTGGCTTTAGAGATAGGGAAGGAGGAACTTGACCTCACTGCCACAATCACCTTGATCTCTGAGAAGATCATCAGGTTGTGACACATGCCATAGTGCAGTCATGGTTTGATAGAATTTCTTAAGGAAACCTCTTAAGAGTCATTAGTCTAGTTTTCCTTTACGCAAACTGAGGCACTGGTGTGATTTGCAAATACATCTTTTTCTTTAAAGTCTTTGTCAGTCAAATGGTCGTTAATGAAATAAGTCACCAAATTTGGATTAATGGATCTATTTGAGGGTCTCAGTATATAATAACCTTCATGAAGTCTGTAAAAACATATGGGATACAAAAAATTGATGATGACACTTTGAACTGATCCTGTTACTTCTTTTTGCCTTCTGCAGCCTTCTTTTTTCCCTCTATTTTTCTTTTATCTTTTCCTCCTTAAGAGTTTGTTTCTTCCTCACCCCCAGTTGCACAAGCACAGTAGAGTAACAATTTTGAACATAGAAGCCTTCAGCTGTGGCCTTGCAGTGTTGCAGCAAAAAGATGTTGTTTCAATATAAAGTACATTGAAATTCCCACTCTATCTGAGTGTCCTGGCAGTCACTCTTTTTGTTTTAAAAACAGAACCCAAATGCAGTTCAGTCTGGTCATTTTTCTTCTACTGGCAGATTTTAGTCACATGGTCTTCTAGGATCTTCTGAC